CCGGGGGACAGGGCCCTCGCTCCGCCCAGGGGAGTGGGCCGCTGGTTGGGTCACCGGCGCTGCCGAAGTTCACCCGGGCCAGAGCAGCTGCGGTCTGCAGTACCAAGAGCAATCCAGGAGATGGCAGTGTGGCTCCACGCAAGAAGCACTCCCGCCGCCATCTCCCGCCGCCGCGACCTAGAAGCTCCTAAAATGTCGACTTGAAGCGCGCCTTTCTAGAACGGGATCCGCGTGAACCAGCGGTCGTATATTTTCCCCTGCTGCTCATGCCAACCTGAAAGCCTCCGGTGGACACAAGCATGAGCCGGGGCTTGCCTGACCGTCGGCACTCGCTCCTCCCAGGCCCCATTCCAATGCCGCGGTCGTTGCGTGGCAGCAACCGTGCGCGGACGGTGCGGGGCTGCGGCTCAGGGAGCCGGTTCCATTCGGGGTCACAGTGCTCATCCCAGCAGTGATCTAGGGGCAGCGAGGCACGCAGGAACGGTCATTCACGACGGACGGACAAGGGAACGAACACCTACAGCCCCAGGACCAGATGACCCCACAAAGAACGCGCCCGGTGGACCGGGTTCCGCCGATCCTCGAGGCCCCGAAACCTGCGCCCTGGTTCAGGACCGGGTACCAGGCCTAGCGAGCCAGCACCAGAAAGAGAGAGAGAGAGAGCCCAGACGTCAGGACTCGGCCGGTTTGAATACCTGACTTTAAAATTAGGCGGCTGAAATTTGGTTAGTTATAAATCATACATACTTGGTGACTGTCTAGCGTAGATGTGCTGCGAATTTGGCCACTCTGGGATAACTCAGGGCACAGACTGGGAACTGTTAGGTTATTCGAAAATAAATGATATGTTTAAATAAGTAGAATACCACCCTCGCTCCAGGATTGGCGTTCACGCGGTTGAAGTCACTCTTGCTTCTCTGGCAAAGCTATTTCTTTGGCATTGAAATGCCAAGGCTACTCTGGTGTCTCTGGCTGTGGAGGCTAGAAAAGCAAAAATCCCCGACCCACTCCCAGCCTACTTTTAATGCTAGACGGGGGACATACTCCGGAGCAAACCCGGCCAGAGTGCGGGAATCAGCTCCCGGTGCAGGATGCTTTCAGAAAGAAAACACAAGAGCAACAGAACCAGCCCTTCGAAGCGCCACGAATAAAGGCTGTGCTGTGCATTTATTTGGGTCGTAATAGTCTCGGCCAAGCCCACAAAATGTTTATGACTCGCATCTCCGTGCTGAACACGCTGTAAAACTAGGGACTCGATTTTGGCTGACATCTCTCCTGGGTCTCCGTCTCTCTCTCTCTCTCCCTCCTACTCCCTTTTAGAACTCTTCCTATATACACGTGGGCATTACAGACACATATTTATATCATCATTATATTTCCGTATGTAACACACGCTACTCCACAGCCTCTGCTTGTAGGAAGGGTTTTTATAGCTTCCTCGAGAGTCACCCGTGCTCGCCTATCCTAATTCTCAGAAAGCTTTCTTTATGTAACTGCAAATAAAGCAGCGAAATCGCTGACCAGTGGACTCAGTCGAAGGCTCTATTTTTCTAACAATGGAAGTCACAGGTTGGCGGCACCTCTTCTCTCCGCCATCACAGAGGCCCCAGGTAGGTGTGGGCCTCTAGGGGCTCTGAGGCCTGGTGAACTGCCTCGGCCGGTAGCTCCCTTGCCCTTGGCCGATTGGCGGCTGGCGAGCAGGCTGCTCTCTGGTTTTCGCTGCTTGGGAGGCAAGACCCGGCTAGGAACGGAGCTTATTTTTTTTTCCCTCCGCTTCGGGGAGGAATTGGTATCTACGCCCAAGCTAGAAGCTTCTCACCAGGTGGGGGACAGGAGCTGAAGCCCGCAGCCCCTGCGGGGCAGGAGGACAGAAACATTTAAGGACCCCAAACTCGGAATCATTCGACTCTCTAGAAGGCACCTTTCGCCGCCAAGGGCTGGGTTTACCTTTAAATCTAGATTTAAACACCGAGGACTATTTGGCGACAGGGAACAAGTTCTGACAGTACATTTGAAAGCTAACTCCGGGAAAGCGTTGAGAAATATTCAGATAGCTCCGCAGATTAAAAACCGGCGTATAAGGCTTCTTCTCCAGGGCCTGGGCTAAATTTTATGGGAATACTATCATGCATAAGAGATGCATTTCTGTCAAATAAACAGGGAACCAATGGCCAAAGAAGACAGAATTAAATAGGGCCTTATTGAGAGTTGGACTTTTTTTTTTTTAATTGTGTGAAGTCTAGCCAGGGAAGAGAGACCCAGAAATGAAGGGAAAGGTTTTCGGTGACCCCAGGACCTGCTCAGATGGAAGACTTGGGCCCAGAAGTGCCAAGGCCTTTTGAAAGCAGCAGAATTTGGACCATATTTGGCCGTGGCAAACAGGGAAAGAGCCTCTTGCCGGGGACTCCTTGGTCGTGCCCGAGCCAAATCCAGACCACCTTCCTAGGCGTGTGAGTGTGGTTTTTTCCTGTGCTACCTCAAATCGCTCCTCACTCTGGCTGTCAGGTCTCCTTCTAAAGGAGAAGTTCCACTTTAAACATCGTCGCTTTGGACTGCTCCAGTCGCCCGAGTCTAGACAGACCGCCGGGGCCTGCCTAGTCTTTCACTTTGCGCCTGGCTGCGTGTCAGCCCAGCAACAATTTATTGGTCTAAAGCCGCCTAATTTCTCCTCTTTGATCTCCTGGCCTTCTTTTTGTTTGCTTCGTCTTCCTTTATCTTTTTTAGAATTTTATTTCTCTGTTAGAAGACTCTGTTATTTGGATTTTTTTCTCTCCTGTTTTACCCCCTCTGTTTCCCATCCTGATCCACCATAAAGGGGATCCGGATATTGCCGCCCCAGGGTCCCTCCGGGGAGATAGCCTAGCTCCCACCTGCCCTCCTCCCCGCCAAAGCCCGAACCCTTTGCTAGGTAGGCGCTGGGGCTCCGTTGCAGCGGGATTTGAACCATCCTTCCTCTTTTGTGCTCCCAAGACCCCCCGAGAGGATGCGGTGAACGGTGGTGGGGGGCAGCCTGGACCCACTGAAAGTGATGAGAAAGTGCTTTGTACACCAGGAACCAAACTCTATAATTTAGAGGAGAATTTCCGGGGCAATTCCATTGTGAAGTCGGGTTTATGGTGTGCAATCGAGCTGAGCAGTAAAAGGTGGCCAGTCTTCCAGCTTCGGCCTGGGCAGTTTATGAGGCGATTAGAGAAAGGGTTCACCCAAATATCCTCCAGAGAGCGTTGGGCAGCAGGGCCTCCATCTGACCTATCACTGCACGGGGGTGCAAAGTCCCGCAAGGTAGGGTCCCAGGGTGAGTAACTATTTGGGAGGAAGAGAATGAGACTGTTTGCGTTTGTGAACCAGTGCCTAGAAAGGCGAAGCTGCGAGATTTGGGTGGCCTTGTAAGGGTTCCCCTATTTGCTTCTATAGTCTCCTAAAAAACTGGGGTTCCACGGTGGGCTACAGCCCCAGTCCCCTGAGAACCCCCTCTTTTCACTCTAAATTAGCTCCAAAAGTCTACTGTTCTCCGGCCCACAAGGCGGAGGTGCAGGGGTAGCTTGGCTGGGAGCTGCCAGAAACCTCCCAGTATGAAGGATGCATTTAGAAAATTGTGGACTCGAGTTTCCAAGCTGCGGGAGGATGACCCAGTTTCCCCGTGATCCAGGGGTAACACCAGGGGTTGTGGGAAGGACAAAGGGGGGTGTTGAGCCACCTATGGGGTTGCTGCGGGCCAGCCAGGTGCCCAGGAGCGAATGCAGAGAGACTGCAGGGCGGCGGTGTCCGGGGAGGAGAAAGGGAATCCCATGTTAATAAATCTGTTGGCAAATGAGGCTCATTAATAGATAAATATTTCACTGCTTCCTTTAGGGCGGATAAACAGTGCTCCGCCGAGCCGATTAAAGAAAGGAAGCTGGGAGACATTGACTTTATTCGAACCACATGGTTCCAGTTTGTGGCAGCATTCGCGCTGCTCAGCTAGAGCAGACGCCGCGCCTGCGGAGTTTGTGCTGGAGCATCACATCTGGCCTTAAACGTTCTCCTGCTTAGAGACAGAGAGGTGGGCAAAGAGCAGAAACCATCTATGGGCCGACAGGTTGCAGAGACCCCGCAGGGGCTTGAGTCTGCAGAGAGGACACGGACAGGGGGAATCTACACACTGGATCTGGGGTTCAGGAATAGGTATGAGGTTGGGGGAGGGGAGGCGAACCCTGCCGGACTTCCGCAGGCTGGGGCACCGGGATGGGGCTCTGACTGCGTCGGGCGCCCGGGGGCCGGCGGGGTGCAGGCCGCTGCGTGGGCCGCGTATTTGAGCCTCTTCCCGTTCCATTCTAGGCGGCCGCCGGCCCGTGGCGCGAGACCACCTGTGAGGGCTGCTGAGATTGGCGGAGGCGGTCATGTGGGCGGTCACGTGCCGCGGCGAGCTCCGTCCAAAAGAAAATGGGGTTTGGTGTAAATCTGGGGGTGTAATGTTATCATATATCACGCTACCTCGTAAAACCGACACTGAAAGCTGCCGGACAACAAATCACAGGTCAAAATTATGAGTTCTTCGTATTATGTGAACGCGCTTTTTAGCAAATATACGGCGGGGGCTTCTCTCTTCCAAAATGCCGAGCCGACTTCTTGCTCCTTTGCACCCAACTCGCAGAGAAGCGGCTACGGGCCGGGCGCCGGCGCCTTCGCCTCCACCGTGCCGGGCTTATACAATGTCAACAGCCCCCTCTATCAGAGCCCCTTCGCGTCGGCTATGGCCTGGGCGCCGACGCCTACAACCTGCCCTGCGCCTCCTACGACCAAAACATCCCCGGGCTCTGCAGTGACCTCGCCAAAGGCGCCTGCGACAAGGCGGACGAGGGCGTGCTGCACGGCCCGGCCGAGGCCAGTTTCCGCATCTACCCCTGGATGCGCAGTTCAGGTAGGCGCCCCGACCCGCCGGGTCGGCGTGCGGGCGGAGCGGGGGGGGGTGCGGGCGCGGGGCGCGGGGGGCCGAGAGAGCCCAGCCTGGCGGCTTCAGCCGGCGGCCCCGCAAGTCCCGGTGGCGCTGCCTTTCTGGTTTTAATTAGAGCTGAGGCGCCATTGCGTGGAGGGACCCGTAGCATTGTATGTAAATGAGGCTCATAAAACTTTTTATGGCCCAATTAATGGGTTCGATCCTCGTAAATTTATTTAACTCCATTTGCCTTGGAATTTTTACAGTAAGTTTCTCCGCTATTCTCATTCTCATATTCTTTCTCTCCCCCTTCTCCCCCTTCTTCCTCTCCCTCTCTTTTTCTCTCCCTCAGCCTCTCCTCTCTCTCCCTTCTTTCCTGTTCTTCATTCCTTTCTTGACTCCAACTTCCCCCCCCACCACCACCCTCCTTTTCTTTCGGCCTGGCTTTCTTTCTCAAAGGCAAGGAGAGCTAGGACCTCCGGGATCCCACACCCACCCCTGTACCCAGAGGCCATTTCCAGACCCTAGCTGGATCGAATGGGACAGAGGGTGGGATTGCTACAGGAAGGTCTTGTGCGTGAGGCTGCGAGGAGGAGGGTTGTTCCCTTTCTCGCAGGACTGGGGAGCGGCTAGGTTTGCCTCTGAATGGCAAAAGTGCCGAGTCTCCCACTTGCCACACTCTATATTTACAATTTCCCTTTGTCAAGGGGAAGCAGGACATTGTAGAAACGTAGCCGGCTGGAAAGGCCGGTTGGTAAAGTTGGAATTCTGCTCTAAGACTCTTCACAGACGGGCTGGCCCCGGGGTCTTCCGCTCACACTTGTCCTACCCCAGCTCAATTGGGGGGTGATGGGGCTTGAGCCTGGGTTTGGGCAGGATGGAAGGTACAGGCTCTTGGACAGCCAGCGGGCCTGACTAAAACACTCTTCTGTCCACATCCCAGTCTGCTTGTCTGTTTGTCTATATGTCCAAATTTCTGCTCTCAGGACCCGATAGGAAGCGGGGACGCCAGACCCTACACACGCTACCAGACGCTGGAGCTGGAGAAGGAATTCCACTTCAACCGCTACCTGACGCGGCGCCGCCGCATCGAGATCGCCCACGCGCTCTGCCTCACCGAGCGCCAGATCAAGATCTGGTTCCAGAATCGGCGCATGAAGTGGAAGAAAGAGCATAAAGATGAGAGCCAGGCTCCTCCTGCGGCCCCCGAAGACGCCGCCGTGCCCTCCAGAGTCTCCACGGCAGCTGCTGACAAGGCCGAGGAGGAGGACGAGGAGGAGGAGGAGGAGGAGAAGAGGAAGAAGAGGAATAAAGGGCCAGGCACAGGGCCCTGGCTGCACAGGACAGTCGGAAAAGCGTCTTTAAGAGACTCACTGATTTTAGTTACAAAAATGGAGGGAATAAAGTGTTTAAAAAGAGAGAAAGAGAGAAAGAAAAAGAAGGAATCAGTCCCCACCCCTCATCCCACCCACTCCATCACCCGCTTTAGCTCCCAGGGAGATTAGGTCACCTTGGGGACCCTCTCTGCCTCTGAGGACCCCAGTAGATACCCACAACCCTGGGCCAGTATTGTGCTCTGGCACAGCCAAAATACTACCTAGCACAGGCCTCCTTGAGAGGCACCCCCAAACTACCTATGGGCCCAGCCCCGGTGGGCCACCACTCCTAAGAAGTCCTCTCCACGTCCTAACAGTGGCAGACACCCAGCACCTGCCCCTCCCCGCCTCCTCCCTGCAAAAACATGATCAGTACTACCTACTAGGCTTAAACTACCTATTTTGTGCTGGCTAGCTTTCCTGAGTGTGTACCCACTCCTCCCAGGCCAGGCCTTGGCGCTTCAAGCTCACAGTCTTTGGAGTCTCCCCAGGCTTCACTGACGAGGCAATGAGGTTCAGGGACCAGGGCATTGGCTTCTATTTAAATTGAAAAAATAATATATTTATTCCAAAAAACATACCAAATGCTGCAGCCTAGAATCCCTCTTTCTCTGGCTTTGGCACCTCAAGTTCAGGGCCATTACCCCTACTTCTGGAGGGGAGCATTCCTGAGCTGGCTGCAGACCTCTGGAATAGCTTCAGCTTTGAGGGACTCAGGAGAAGTCCCCAGCCTCACTCTGCCCCCCCCCCCCACTTGCTTCTGTGTCCTACTGTTCAGCCATGTCGAATATGTATACTCTGACTTTTCCTACCAAGGGCAAATACTGTATATTTGAACCAGATTTTTTGTTGTTGTTGTCATTTCTATAATCTTGGAGCTCATTCGTAAAGGAATGTCTTGACTTGGGAAAGCTGTTTTAAATGGGGTGACTTTGTAGCATGATGTGTTGTGGTTGAACTAATTCTGTTGTGGGTGGGAGAGGTCCAATACCCACCCGGGTGCCCATTATCTCCCGTGTTGTCCCATGTCCCCCGTAGACCCAGCCTGGGTTCGGGGAAGGCATGCTTACCAGCCCAGTTACCTATGTTTTATGTATCAATAAAGATGCTTGGTGACAAAGAAATGTGGACTGTGTTATCCAGAGGGTCTGGGGTGAGGGGAGGTGAGGGCCATAGCTGAAGGGCAAGCCTTGTAGGTCAAAGGACCAAGGGGAAGCCACCATAGAGAGACTGTCCTTGAGTCTAAGTTTTAGATATTCATGTATATATGTGTCCTGTCTCTTTTCCCATGTTTGTGTGGAGATTTGTGTGAGTTAAGCGTGCTTCTATTTTTTTTGTTTGTGGTTGCTTATAGTTTTCATAATTGTGTACATTTCCACATCCGTAATGCGTGTATATCTGTGTTGTGTGTCAACATTTTCCATGTCTATAATTGGATGTGTGGGTTTCTGTGTCCAGCTGCACGTTTTTCTGTGTCTATGCGTCCATTTTTCTGCGTCTACAATTGTATCCGTGTCTTCCTCTTTGTAGATGTTTTTGTCTGGCCTATTGTGTGCACCAATTACCTAGATCCATTGAAAACAGCTATTAGTTAATACAGTATATTTTATCTGTGGCCTCCCAAGCTTCCACAAATTCCAAGAACGAATTCCAAATTCAACCTTTCCTCTAAAGGTGTAGACTGAGCTCTCAAAGGGTATTACCTACCCTCCGACTGATTCCGGATTCCGCATGCGCCCCTGAGTCCAGCCCTAGAGTAGGAAATAGGATTCAGGGTCCTTGCCGCAGCACCCCCACTTAGCCTTCAGTAGAGGCGAGGATGCCCCAGGGCCCAACACTGCAGCGGAGGGGTTCTGGGACTGCCATGGGCCTCCAGACCCGGCTGCGCAAACCTAGGCAAGTCCTGATGCAGAAGAGGGACTGTGGTTGGGGAAGGGGGCGAGCAGCGAGGGACCAGGGACGAGGGGCGGTGGAAGTAGCTTAGAGCATCCCGAGTTTGGCCCGCGAAGATCTCCATTCTTATCTCCTGGCTGGGTTGAACCAGCTTCTTAGGATTCTTTTAATAAAATCGAACCTAAAAGGGTCTGTAAAACCTGCAGCCCCAAGTCGGGACAGCCTCGGTGGTAAGATGGCGCCGGTGTGAGAGCTGCCTCCTCTTAGTGATGGGGAAAGGGTCATAAATCCGTTGTTGTTTATGAAAATTTACAACTTTGCAATACAACTTTATGAGTTTGTTCGGCCCTTCCATTGGCCGCTGTCGGTCATGTGGATAGGAACCGTGAACATGAACTTTTTTATAATTTCCCTTGCGAGAATAGAGCCGCATTCTTTTGCTCCGCTCCGTCCTGCGTGCTTCGGAGCTCTGCCTTCCCAGCCTGCTTGGGCTCCGCTTTGTCCGGCGATGGCGAGCGAAGGGAAGGCACTGCCAGGCCCAGGCCGGCCGCTGGCGCTGGAGGTGGGGCGCGTCCAGTTCCTGGAGCAGCAGCCGCCGCCGCTTTGCAACTCACAACCTGGCTAATTTCCTGCGTCCTCTGGCACCAGGAAGGAGGACAATTCGTCTCCTGGGCTGCCGAAGCGACAGCTGTCAGACAGGCAGGAGCTTCTGGGAGCCGCGGTCTGAAGGTGAGGACATGTGGGAAGGAGACAGGGCAAAGGTGGGTGAGGTGCCACAGTGGTGGGAGAGGGCACCCAGAACGACTTTGAAAAAGGGCATTTCTCACCGTCAACGGTACTGTCCCTTCACACCCCAGCCCCAATACACACCGCAGCCCAAACACGTCACTCATTCTCACCCACGACCGCCACCACCTACATCACTCCCTCTCCTCCCTCAAGGCAGATCAGCCTTCCTTCTGTGGCACAGTGCCCTTCCCCAGTGACCCCGAGGAAGCCCAAGGGGGAGTCATCTGGCATTCTCCGGTTCCCTATCAGCCTCTGGGGTTTGGGATTATTTCATTCATGACCCAATTGATTCAATTGACTCCCCCAATAACCAGAGATAGTTCCCGATGTGGGAATGTGGGCAGGGAAGAGAGCAAAGCGAGGTAGCCCACGGGTGTTTTGTTAGCTTCAGCACACTGTTCTCTCCTGTGGGGCTAGTCTCAGAGAGAAGGCAGGATGGGGTAAACAAGCAAACACAAAAGCAGAACTTACTAATTCAGAGTTCTCCGATGATTGCGTGCTTCATTTGCCCGTTTTTTCCGACCAGAGTGGTGTCTGGAGCCCTGGGAAAGGGGCTAGGTGCTTGTGTGGAATTCTGTGTTGGAGGAGAGAGAATCGAATTAATTGGGTGCTACTGGAGGATGTTTCGGTACAGAGGACTGTCGCGTTGGCGCGTGTGGAAGGACTATATCTAAGGTTTCTGAAGGAAGGTTGCAAAACGGAGTCTGAGAAATAACAGGGTGGCAGCCCCAACCCACCTAAGGACAGTGATAGGCTGGTGTCCACGGTCCCCTACCTCTGGAGCCACCAGGGAGAGGACTACAGCTAGCCGCGAGGCGGCACTGAGTGTTGCTGGCCTGGCCAGTAGCTTTGCATTGCGCGGTGGTACCAGCCGTGGTGGCTGAGCCTGAAAGCGCAGCTGACCAGGTCAGATTTGGCCCCCGCTTCCCCCGCGAGAGACAGAACCACTCGAGAATCAGTCGCGAGGTTCTGGGCTATAGTTCTTTTTGTTTATTTTGTTTTTTTTGGTTGTTATTGTTGTTGTTGTTGTTTTCCTATCTCAAGAGAGTGTCTCGGCATAGATCAGATAATTAAGATGGGCACGTTGATATTTGGGATGTTCGCTGGACAACGCTGTGGGGTGCGCCCCGGGGCAGGGGCAGATAAAGCGCCGCTTTTGCCTCCCAGGGCCGCTGGCTGCCTGGCTGTGGCTGCCTGGGGCGGATTATTTATTGCGACCGTGCTGGGAGCTCGCTGCTGCCACGCTGTGGCCGTCCCCGGGACCGGCGCCAGCAGCGACCCGCCTCTTCGAGCCTGGCGCGACTGCTGTACCGGCCCCTCAGAGATCCCCCAGAAGCAGGGGAAGGGGGGCACAAAGGGGGACGTGAGGGGCAGTCTCCCGGGGTCTGTTTGGCTGTGAAACCTCCCTGCTTCGGCTACCCATGACAGAAAGCTCAGCCGCCGGAATAGACTCGGGTCCTTCCCTCGCCCCCAACCCAGCACCATGGAGACTGGTTGTACAGGCCGCCCGGCCGGTCATGGCTGCTTCTGTCCAAACTACGCGTCCCAAAGGCGCCCTGGGGGCGCACGCCAGTTGCCAGTTGGGGAACGCGCGCTGGCTTTGAGATTCTGACATCGGAGAGACCAGTTGTAGTTCTGAGGCCTGCTGGCCTGGCTGGCCCTGAGAATTGGCTATGGCATGGAAGGCGGCTCTTGGAGAGGGCCTGGGACTGGCAGAGGCCACACCTGTGTGCTTTGGGTTCTGGGCTGGAGACTTGGCTGGATGGAGATGGACCTTCGGGGTCCTCCCACACACCTGCAGGGCCGGCTCCAGGCTGGCCGAAGTGGAGAGGCTCAATGGGCAGCCCAGGGCAAGGGCAAACTGCCATCCTACCCCCCTCTGAAGAGAAGATGAGAGGTAAGTTTTCTGTGTGGCTTTGACCTGACAGAGTCCTGGGGCGGTCACTCTCATCACCTTAGGAGAGGCTCTGTTGAGGGAGAGTTCTTGTTCCCCATTCAGTGGAGCAGTCAGGACTGACCCTCCTCTCTCTCTCTCTCTCTCTCTCCCTCTCTCTCTCTCTCTCTCTTTCCATATATATGTGTATATATGGAAGAATAAACAGATCGACTGTCAACTTAAATGAGCACTAGCCTTGTCTTACACGTAAAGATTTCAATTTAATATTTTTTCCATCTTAATGTTTACAAAAGCTGGAAATACATTTTCTGGCTCCTAGCTGAGAGATCAAATTCTCTTATTGGTTGAGACAATTAAATGTAGAATCCAGGGCAAAACATAACAATAATAGTGGTGAACTATTACCAGCTCCAGCTCTGGGCAGGACATGGAAGGATAAAAGAGAAATGATAAATGTAAACAATTAACACCTGCAAAATGGCTGTTTTCACTTCGAATCATATTGGTTGAAATAATTATCTGATTTTTTTTTGTTTAAGAACCAATAACTCAAACTTATTTTCTTCAAACAGCTTTTTAAGAAAAAAAATCCCCCATTTTTTCTCCCAGGTTTTCATTTTTCATGTATCGCATCTTCTCTGTGAGACACGCTAAATTTTATCCTCTCCTGGATAACTCTTGGTTTTATGGAAAGAAAAAAAACTTTCTTGGGTTGGAGAGATAAAGACTTAGGGCACACAGTTCTGGCACAGCCTTCCTTCAATGTGCCTTCATAGGTTCTCTGGAGGCAAGTCCTTTTCCAATTTTTCCCTTTTAGGGGGAAGAAGGCCAGGGGGAAAAAAACAGAAAAGCAAAGAAGAAATTAAGAATGTCGTTACCAGAATTCCTGCAGGACCATTACCAATTGTCACCCTCGGCCCAAAGCCTAACCTCATCAGTCCGCTTGGGCCAGGGTTTTACAGATCTTGCGAACAACCTCCTGAATTCCAACCAAACCTTGTAAACAGTCTCTCCGCCGCCCACAGAATTGGGGATTTTAAAGCTGATTCAAAAGCTCTTATAAGCCCTACAAACACAAATGCCATCGAACCGACATCGCGTTTTACAAAATGAGACTGATCCCTGTGCCAGCAAGTCCAAGACAGGCTTTCCATGTCCAATCTGGAGGTCACCAGGCCTGGGCCGGTGGTCAAGGCAATTCAGGATTCTGGAGCTGGTGACAAGATGGCAGGACTGTTCTAGTTTTGGAGCTCCTGCAGCAGTAGGGGTATTTTGGGGGTGGGGAGGCAGGGGACAAGTGGGTATACCCCCCACGACAGTGCAATCTATAGAGCAATCTACACACTACCAGGAAACCAAGCCCATTAATTATCCTGTGGGAAGCTCTGGGCCCCAGGAGCCGCACTCCGTGCCCTGCAACTGGGGGCCCTGCATCTCTCTTGCTTCTGGAATGAGACTAGGGAGAGACTGCATCTGGAATTTTATCTGTCACTGCTCTGGGCAGTCCCAGTAGCTTCGGGGAGTCCTGGGACGCTGGGTGAGGGGAGTTAAATCACCTGGATGGCTTCCTAGTCGGGGGTTTCACAAACACTCTTCTGTAGAGCATTTCTTGTTGAAACCATGGGTTTTTAGCCTTTCCTTTCTCTGGGTTCAAAGACAGGATGCGGTGCTCAGCCGGTGTAGCTGCTCGCTTTAAGTCCACGCAGGCACGGGCCATTGCAGGCGAGTCAAACATGGAGTGCGGTCGTGGGAAGAGGGGGGCTGCAGGAAGGCCCTGCCTTTGGCCTGGGTCTGCTCAGAGAGGGATGGTCTTTTAGCTTTGGGCAGTAAGGCCCAACCTGTAGTAAGAATGGGGAGGGGATAAGGCGTCCATGGATCCCTAAAGCATAGGGCTGAAAAGCAGTGTGAAGGCCTGGTTTCTCAGAGCCCCTTCTCCAGCTCAAGAACCCACAACCCACGATTAAGGGAGCGCTAGGGGAGGGGCAGCCTGGGACCTGCCTGGGACAGAGGGCTCCCCACGAGCAAAGCCGTTCTAGTCACCGCCCCTTCTGGCTCAGGCTTGTCAGGTTTCCTGTTTGGAGGGGAAAACCAGCAAAAACCAACACTCAAAAAGGGAAAGCGGAAAGAGCAGGCCTAGTGGGGCCTCGGCGTTGACCTGGGCACCAGTGCCTCTCCTCGGCTCTGAGCTGCACCTCCCTGCCCGGGCCGTGCCCGCCGCTGGCGTTCGGGGGGTGTGTGGGGGAGAGCGGGGGCCGGCTGGCTGTGTGCGCCCATTAATCTGCCGGGCGGGCGGCGGGCGGGCGGGCTGGGGGCTGTTTGTAACTTTGCTGCCTCGGTCGCCGCGGTCCCCGGGGAGCGGGCTCCGGCGCTCGCTCCCATTGGCCGCCGCTGCGTCAGCTGGTGCGATTTGCTGCTGTCGCTTTTGGCGTTCGGCCATCCAGAAACAAACCAGTTCGATGACTACTAATAGTTATAGCCAGATGTACTAATACACAACAAATCACAGTCCTGCAGAGGGGCGCGCAAATGAGTTCCTATTTTGTGAATCCCACTTTCCCTGGGAGCCTGCCCAGCGGCCAGGACTCCTTCTTGGGCCAGCTGCCCCTCTACCCGGCCGGCTATGACGCGCTGAGGCCCTTCCCGGCCTCTTACGGGGCGTCGAGTCTTCCGGACAAGACGTACACTTCACCTTGTTTCTACCAACAGTCCAACTCGGTCCTGGCCTGCAACCGGGCATCCTACGAGTACGGGGCCTCATGTTTCTATTCTGATAAGGACCTCAGTGGCGCCTCACCCTCGGGCAATAGCAAGCAGAGGGGCCCCGGGGACTACCTGCACTTTTCTCCCGAGCAGCAATACAAACCTGACAGCAGCAGCGTGCAGGGCAAAGCCCTCCATGAGGAAGGCACCGACCGGAAGTACACGAGCCCTGTTTACCCCTGGATGCAGCGGATGAATTCCTGTGCGGGTAAGGCATTTCCCTGCTCCCCCACCCCAGAGAGTGTAGGGAGAAGGAAAAGCTGGCAGGCAGACAAGGAAGGTAGGAAGGAAGGAAGGAAGGAAGGAAGGAAGGAAGGAAGGAAGGAAGGAAGGAAGGAAGGAAGGAAGGAAGAAGAGAGAGAGAGAGAGAGAGAGTAGGAAGAAGGAAAGGACAAAGTTTCTTTCTCTCTCTCTCTCCTTTTTTAAAAGAAAAATTTAAAAAAGAAAAAAACCCAAACATTCCCAGTGGGGCAATCAGGCCCAGCCAGAGGAAAGACTGGGCCACGAGCTCCATGTAAGGTGACACTTTAGGGGTGTAAAAGATTCACTGCCAAGCTACATGAGACCTGTAACGGGGCAACAGAGGGGAGAAGAAAGCCCGTTCAGCTGCACCCTTGTGACACCCCTCAGGTTTCCACGCAAAGGGGGCCTCCAGAAGGCACCACAGACAAACTCCTTCCCATTCCTACCCCTCTTCCTTCTGCCCTTCGGAAGCTCAGAAGCCCAGACAGGCAGAGGCTCTCTTTCCCCTCACTTGACCCTTTCAGGGTCCCAACCAAAGCTCTGGAGCTGTGGAGGGCTACCTCCTTAGAATATTCATTCTCTCTCTCTCTCTCTCTCTCTCTCTCTCTCTCTCTCTCTCTCTCTTCCCTCCCAGTCTTACCTTCCACTCAACTTCACACTTTTAGCCAACTCTATCTCCTCCTGAGACCCTGCCTGAGCCTCACACCTGCCTTGGGTACCTCTGGGTATCCAGACAGCCCAACTCAGTCCTACACTGCCAGAACCCCACCACCTCACCTATGGGAGGACCATCTCTCTATTCCAGGTTTTTAAAGACTCCACAGGGACTCCCCTTTCCCCTTGCAGCAGGACAGAGCCTAATGGGGACTTTCAAACGCACCCTCCCAGTGGAGTGTGTTCAGAGCAATCGCATAACTTGCTAACAATATGCAAAGGTTTGAGAAGGCTGGCCATATTTAAGTTTCCAAAAACACATTGAGTTCTGACACGAGGAGCCTCCATAGCATCTTTCACAGACACCAATGTGAGAATTCAGTTTTCCATGCTGCTGCCAGGATCCCCACTCCACCCACAGAAAAATAAATGCTACCCTCTCTTGACACAGTGACTTTGGCCCCTCAAATTAAGAATGCCCATGCTATTTCTTCACTTCTAATGGTTTGCTCACAGACCACATTTGTCAGAAGCAATGACTTCCCACCCCAAGTCGTTTTTAGGTGAAAAACATCTCGCTTGGTAGGAATCATCTTTGCCACCCAGCCGGCTTTTTGCCTTCGGTTGTGGCTGGTGCTAGAAGCTGGGGTGGAAGTAAGGTGCTCTCAAGCTTAGGGACAGCTGGCGGGAGGCACACGGACTGGATTCCTTTGGCCTCGCTTACCCACACTGCATTTTTGCCTGCAGGTGCCGTGTATGGGAGTCACGGGCGCAGAGGCCGCCAGACCTACACGCGCTACCAGACGCTGGAGCTGGAGAAGGAATTCCACTTCAACCGCTACCTGACGCGGCGCCGCCGCATCGAGATCGCCAACGCGCTCTGCCTCACCGAGCGCCAGATCAAGATCTGGTTCCAGAATCGGCGCATGAAGTGGAAAAAGGAAAATAAACTCATCAATTCCACACAGCCCAGCGGGGAAGACTCTGAGGCCAAGGCGGGCGAGTAGACTCCAGGCAAGGACCAGGCCAGCGTCCTAACCTCTATTGGCTTTGCCCCCTGGTGCCCCTGCCTGCTCCCCCAAGTTTTCTTCCAGCCTGCTCCCAGCCGGGTGCTTCCGCAGCTTAGGGAAGTCCAACGCTTTGCAAGCGTCTGCGCATTTACTTATTACAGAAAACAAACAAACAAAACTCACACACCCAATGTCAGCTGTGGGACAGACGCACTGTATACACACACACAGGTTCTCTCCTCAAAGCTGCCCGAGCCAGCTTGGGAGTCCCGGGATGCACCCAGAATTGGCCCTGCTGCTGTGTTAGCGCCCCTGCGCTCCCTGAGCTACAAGACGCGGGGTTGTTGGGGGAAGAAAGAGCCCCAGGCAGTGCCCGGTTTGGTGTCTGGACTTTTCCGCCTTGGTCCTTCGCCATCAAATCTCGAAGGGCATCTCCAAATCGGCCCTGGCTACTGAAAAGAAAGGGCCTACGAGCTGGGCCCCAGCCCTGTCTCGGCCTCTCAGGATGCCCCTAAACAAGAAGCCGGAGGAACAAAGGGGAACTCCCCTCTTCCAAGACAGAACCAAGTCTTTCTGCCGGCGCATAACCGTCAGTGGGAGAGCCGCAGCTTCAGCAGAGGCGAGCCAACCTGGGCGCGAGTGGAACCGCACAGCCTCGGGAGAGACTAGGCTCCCGCAGGCTTCCCACTCCCTGCCTCTTATAACTCAGGCGCCGCATCCTAGAAGCTCTCAGGACCCAAGGAGGGGGCTCAGGACCATAGGAGCAGCAAGAGTCCAGCTTCCAAGCGTGCCAGGGACGCCTGAGATGCCAGGCCTCTAGTAGGGAAAATCTGCTCGCCTCTCAGCTACATTTGTGATTTACTTTCGTCTTTCGGAGCCCAGGAAAATAACTACGGAGATACTAGGCACTGCCACGAAATGGTTCCATTAGTTCCCGCAATTTCCTCCTGGAGGTCTAAGCGAGACCCCAATAGCTCTGCCCACGGATCCCAGCTTCCAAGCAGCCTCAGAGGCTGCAGGGAATCAGGGCCCACTTTCTGGGTTCGCCAAGAACCCTGCTACCTGGGGCCCGGCTGGCCGGAGGAACCGGACCAGGGATGAAGATATTCCAGGCTGGATAAATAAGCAAATCAGATAGCAAACTAATGACACGAAAAACATATTTACACGGGAGGAAAATCGACTCTGGTTATACGAGTGTATGGAATTTGACCTCGCCTCGGAGCAACACTACACAAAAGCTATCTTTAATAGACGCCTGTCGTTTAAGAGCGGCAGGGACACTGTCCTTCACGCGCGCTCACAAAAACAGAGCCGTAATTGTGGCTGCTGCTGTGGGCAGGATTTATTTCTTCAATTGGCTAAATGGTCTTTCCTTCCCCGAAGGTGATATCTGTGTTTCCAAAATTCACAGCTGCGGGCCGGACGGGGCAGAACCGACCCCAACCTCTACACAAAAATAAGAGGGGCTACAAAGCCAGGGAAATAAAGTTGTAAATAATTCCAAGTCACCACCTCCCCCTAATCCTCTGTATCCTCGCCGGGCGTGCGATCGGCAGCTGACGGCCTCACAATTGGTACATCCTAATGGAACTGCGAGGGAAATGCAATAATTTTGCCATAATGGGCTGTAACCTCAATTCGACCCCGGCCCTTGCAGCCCGAGGTCGGAAGCGATGCGATGCGCCCTGCCTCCAGAGGGTGGCGCTCGAGTCCGACTGAACGGCGGCGGCGGGTGGCGGGCACGCGCCCAGGGCGCGCGCACCACCCCTCTCGCCTCCACCCAACTCCCCCATTAGTGCACGAGTTTACCTCTAGAGGTCATCAGGCAGGATTTACGACTGGACAACAAAAGCACGTGATTCGAAGTCGTACCCCATATTTGGGTGCCTACGTAGGAGGGAACCGAGTACATGTCCCAGTCATTTCCATAATTCATCATAAATTGTGCAAGGGTGCTATAGACGCACAAACGACCGCGAGCCACAAATCAAGCACACATATCAAAAAACAAATGAGCTCTTATTTTGTAAACTCATTTTGCGGTCGCTATCCAAATGGCCCGGACTACCAGTTGCATAATTATGGAGATCATAGTTCCGTGAGCGAACAATTCAGGGACTCGGCGAGCATGCACTCCGGCAGGTACGGCTACGGCTACAATGGCATGGATCTCAGCGTCGGCCGTTCGGGCTCCGGCCACTTTGGCTCTGGCGAGCGCGCCCGCAGCTACGCGGCCGCCGGGGCCAATGCGGCGCCCGCCGAGCCCAGGTACAGCCAGCCGGCCACGTCCACGCACTCGCCTCCGCCCGACCCGCTGCCCTGCTCGGCGGTGGCCCCCTCGCCCGGCAGCGACAGCCACCACGGCGGGAAAAACTCCCTGGGCAACTCCAGCGGCGCCTCGGCCAACGCCGGCAGCACCCACATCAGCAGCAGAGAGGGGGTTGGCACGGCGTCCGCAGCCGAGGAGGACGCCCCTGCCAGCAGCGAGCAGGCGAGCGCCCAGAGCGAGCCGAGCCCGGCGCCGCCAGCTCAGCCCCAGATCTACCCCTGGATGCGCAAGCTGCACATTAGTCACGGTAAAGCCAGCCGTTCTCTGATCCACGCGTCCGTGGGGGCGCGGGTCTCGGTCACCCTCTGTTCTTTGCAGGCTCTCTCCGGGTCTCTCTCCTAGTCTCGCCTCTCTCCAGCCCGCAGAGCCTCTCCCTGCGGTTCTCCTTCCCTGCCTTCCTCTTTACTTCCTCCCCATTACTGCAGCAGCATCCTGTGTTCGCAAATACTGGGGGGAGGGGGGGAAAGGGGTGGCCGAGCAAGTTTAGATGTGGAAAGAGGAAGAAATTCCATCTGGAACCCTAACGCCTCGGAGCGCGCTTAAGGGTCAGGCCAGCCGAGCAGGGCATGGAGAGGTAGGGATGGTCGTAGGGGCCGTGAATCGGGCTTGTCAGGGTGGATAATTTATGAGAAGGGCTACGCTGGGGAAACAGCGTTACTAATTAGAGTCCCCTAAAAGGGGCTTGGGGGGAATAATCCCGGCGAGGGCAGGCGAGATTCTGAAGTTTGGGGGCAAGAGAGAGAGAGAGAGAGAGAGAGAGAGAGAGAGAGAGAGAGAGAGAGAGAGAGAGAGAGAGAGAGAGAGAGAGAGAGAAAAGGACAGGGAAGGAAAAGAAAGCGGGCGCCCCAAGCGTACAGGCTGGAACAGGAGGCGGCTAGGGCGGCTGGAACTTTAACGGAGGGTGACCTGGAGGCCACTTGGGAACTCAGAAAAAGGCAGTGCTTCGGTGCGTTTCTGAGCGGTGGGCAGCCTGGGAGACCAGTGCCCCTGCTTATGACAACTCGTGCAGGGCCAAAGAGCAGAATAGGGGCGAGGGAGAGCCAGGCTGTCCTTCAAGACAGGGTTCCAGCCTCAGGTGGGCCGGCTGTTCCCAGAGTCCAAATCCTGTTGTTTTTCTCTCCAGAAAGGAAGAGGGAAGGAAATTCGGGACAGAGTGGGTGGGGAGTGAGGGGGACTTGTTGAGCTTTCTCCCCAGCTCAGGACCCTGGCTGACTCTTGGAACCAGGTGCTAAGGGGTTGGAGGCTAAACCGCTGACTTTTCTGTTGCAGACAACATAGGTGGCCCGGAAGGCAAACGGGCCCGGACGGCCTACACGCGCTACCAGACCCTGGAGCTGGAGAAGGAATTTCACTTCAACCGCTACCTGACCCGCCGAAGGAGGATTGAAATAGCACATGCTCTTTGCCTCTCCGAGAGACAAATTAAAATCTGGTTCCAAAACCGGAGAATGAAGTGGAAAAAAGATAATAAGCTGAAAAGCATGAGTATGGCTGCCGCAGGAGGGGCCTTCCGCCCCTGAGTATCTGAGTTCAAAGTACTGAGCAGTATTAGCGGAGCTCCCTGCCGCCGCCGTAGTAGTGTCAGTACTAAGGTGACTTTCTGAAACTCCCCTTGTGTTCCTTCTGTGAAGAAGCCCTGTTCTCGGTGCCCTAATTCATCTTTTAATCATGAGCCTGTTTATTGCCATTATAGCGCCTGTATAAGTAGATCTGCCTCTGTTCATCTCTTTGTCCTGAATGGCTTTGTCTTGAAAAAAAAAATAGATGTTTTAACTTATTTATATTGAAGCAAGCTGTGTTACTTGAAGTAACTAAAACAAAACAAAACAAAAAAAACAAAAAAAAAGAAAAGAAAAGAGAAAAAAACACACACACAAAAAGTCCCCCCCTCCACCCTCGTTTAGTGCCAATGTTGTGTGTTGTACTTGAGTCGTTTAACGTGCATGTGCGTGGAAGTGTTCCTGTCTCAATAGCTCCAAGCTGTTAAAGATATTTTTATTCAAACTACCTATATTCCTTGTGTAATTAATGCTGTTGTAGAGGTGACTTGATGAGACACAACTTAACTTGTTCAACGTGTAGTGGCTAGTGGCTGTGACGAAGACTGTGACTCCAAGCGGTGTGTGTCCCTGCGTGCCTTTGTGGGACCCTTTGCACGAACTCTGGAAGTGGCTCTTATAAGCCCAGCTTCAGTGATGTATGTTTTTGTGAACAAAGTTGCAAATATTGTCCAAGTCTGGCTGTTTAAGCAAACTGTGATCAGCTTTTTTTTTTTTATTTGTATTTGTTTTTAAGGAAAAAAATACTGACTGGAAACAAAAAATAAACTTTCTATTGTAAGTTCTCTTGGTCTGATTTGTGCCAAATAGCAAGCGGCTCTTTCTGTTTTTCTGTCTGTCCAGTCGTGCTGGAAGCTGGTGAGTCTGAGGCTACCTGGGCAGCTTGCCTGTACACGGTGGTCTCCCACCGACACCTTGACTCACACCCTTCCTAACTCAGAGCCATCAGAAAATTCAGGCCAGAAGAAGGTGGGAAAAGCTGTAGGAGGTTCCAAAGCATGAGTCCACCCTGTCCATCTCTGAGGAAACCAAGTTAACTAACTTAGTGGGTACCAAAAAGGAGAGGAAGAGAGAAGAGAGAAAAGCCAGGTCTTTGTTAGCCATACTCCGGCCCACACAGATCCTTCATTCCTAAGGCTGTCCTAGGCCTTGCTGAAGGGAATTCTCTGCCAGGATGTAGACCCCAAACCCCTGCCTACTAACCCACCCCAGCACCCCTTCCCCACTCCTCTCACTTAACCCAGTTGGCTTCTTTTGCTACAATTAATTTGCTACAAATGGAAAGTACTTACCCCATCCTAGCTCCATTGGGAAACTCCTCAGAACGGCTAAAGCGCAACTAGAGATTTGCACATTTACCGACTGCTTACACGGATGCCGTCTTTCCTTTTAAAAGTTATAAAACAGTAAACTTTATAAGCCCCAGTTCCGGCTATATGACATTTGGGTGCCAAATGAATAGGGTTTTGTCTATGAATTAGATCGTAAAATCATCCATAGCACAGACAGATCGGCTCACTGGCTATAAAACGTCACGTGGGGCCATTAAAGTAAGTTTTATGGTTTTGGGGAGTTGACATCCAACATTATATACCACATAACATATAATCTCACTAACGCTGGACTCCATTTGACTCTTTTGCAGGCTACGTGTGCTGCCTGGTCATTCAAATTGTCAATTTTAGGTCCAGAAGTGTCCAAACCACAAGTTCTCAAAACTCTCTGAAAAAATGGCTCCCTCCAAGTTAAGGTAAGCTCGCCTCTTGAGTTTATTTGCACTCCGCAAAGTTCCTTGCTCTTCTTTCTCTCTGGCTCAGTAACGCAAAAGCTGTCTCTGGATTCAAAATGGGTGAACAAACTTTTCTCTCTGCCCAAATTAGCAAAGCCAGAGCCAGTTCTGTGGAGGCAGCACGGTGAACAGCGCCTGTGGCCGAGCTGCATCCCAGGCCTAACTTTAATTGCTGCACAATCGTGGATGTTAATGACTTCCGCTGCTCCCGCCGGCCGGCGTGCAAAAAAGATGATTTTTGTGTGTGTGAGAATGGGTCTGTGTGTGAAAACTTGGCAGCCCCCGCCCCTCTTTCTAAGCTTGGCCAGGTCCAGGCTCTTTGGGGGTCGTGGAGCTCTGGTATGGGGAGGAGAGGTCTGGGAGTTGAAGGGGCGCGGGCCACTGGAGTAGAGGGCTGAACTGAACTGGAGAGTTTGAAAGAAAGGCCCAGGCAGGGCTGAGGCCGACACTGGCGGGATTCCTTCTGGGGCTGTGGCAATATGTCTTCGCGGGCCAGGGTCATTTGGCAGCCCTGAATTGTGGCGGCGGCCTTTGGGGCTGGGCTTCAGACTGGCTGGAGAGAGTAGAAGCTGCCTGGGGCCCTGGCTGTGTGGCAGAGACCAGGCTGCTAGCACCCACAGGGTGCTGGGGACAGCGGGTCCCCACCTAGGAGGTAGGGGGTACTCAGCTCCCCCGCAAGCACCGGGCCAGGCCCTGAACCCAGTTCGCCAGTTCTTTTCATTTCGCTGGCCGTGTTCTCACCCGCCTGTGAGTCTGAAGCAATAAACTTTATGGCCGGATTTAACTTTAGTCTTTGAATCCTCAGGCTAATTGAAAGGGGTAAAAGCGCTTTCTTTTCTTCCGCCCTGCCTTTCTTCTGACTCCCTTCTTACCTTGTCCTCCATTTCTTTGTAGGAGTAAGACATCAATGCTCAAGACCCTCGAAGGGCGGGCGACTTAGGTGGTTCCCTCGATGACACTAAAGATAGAGAAATGCACCCCTCTTCAGCCTGCAGACACAGTCTCTCTTCTGAAACTGTGCCTAAAGTTTTGAGGGAAATTGAGGTGTCTTCAATGCCCAACTTAAAAGTCCCTAGAGCCATTAGGCTGTTTTTCTTGACACATCATAAAGGGTAGTTTAGGAAGAAACTGCTCGTTTGTCAGTAGGAGATTTCCTTGTCTCTTTTGTTATTTGTTCTTTCTGTTTGATCCCAGGAAATTTACATAATATATGTTTTCCAAAACAGTCTCCAAAATTACACCAATGAGTGAAGTTAGGTAAAATACAAATTTCCTGGATACAATTCCATCCGGGCTCCAGCCTCCCACCTCCTTCAATGGCAAAGCAAACCAAATAACTGAGGACTTTCTGGCCTGTCCTGGGGTCTTTTCAGGGTAGGTACGCACCAGAGACCTAATAAGCTCCCCTCAATCCTGTTTAAGGAGCTCGGCCAAAATTTCCAACTATATTTAGAAATGAAGCAAAAAAAAAAAGGCTCTTCTCTTTCTCTGGAGCTGGGTAGTTTCTTCAAGTACTGGTTGGTAAAGGTATTTACCAAGTACTTACAGAGAAACATTTCAAAGTGTTGATTTGAAATCCTAACAAGTATTATTATGTAGATGTCTCTTTCATTCAACATAAATCCACAGAAGCCCCAATTCAGAGATCCAAAGAAAGCTAAACTTAGGACATAAAAAAAAAAATCAAAACTCTCATAAATCCCACTTCCCCTAAACAGTGGCGAGCTGAAGAATCCACAAAGTTATTCTGTGTGCAGCGAACATTTGTACTTCAGCACTTGGGAATATGTGTCCACCTCTTAGAAAGAACTGGAGTAAAAAATTTACATGGGAATGAGTTCTGACTATTTGATGTTTCTGAGAATGCTGGATTCTTTGTTTTGCTGCTCTGAGTTTGGGTTATTAGAAAATGTTGGGTTGTGGTTCTGTTTTGGTTATATGTCTGGTGATTTTGCTTGCATAATTTTTTGGTGGTTGAAATTAGGAGGTTAAAAAAAAACCCAAGGGTTGTAGAAATGCTGGTGTTCCTGGGTGTACCTAGGAGAAAGAAAGCATCCACAACATCCGTTGGCCACACCCTGAGGTATGGGAATGGGTAAAAAGGCTGATGGTATCCTATCCAACCAAATACATTCCTAGGGATCTTTCCCACAAATTAAAAAAAAAAAATTACAGGCTATGAATGCTGTCAGCTTGCTTGTTTCTGTCTGCTTTAATCTTCACAAGGCTTAAGTAGAATTTGAGAGGGCAGGTTGACCCATGTGGAGTTAAGTGACTGTGGGGCTGCCTTTGGAGGAATTGTTCTCTTTCTTTCTTACTGTTTTCACGGGAAGCATACGGAAGACGCTGGTTGGTTATCTGCTCATTTTGTAGATGAGTTATATCTTCTTGTAGATTCTTTTGAGTCTTTTTTTTTTTTTTAAAGAGGAACTTACTTAGAGAAAAAAAAAACAACTCTCCTACTGAGGGCTTTATGAAGACATCCAGCTTCAGCTGATGGCAGAAATCTGTGTGTTCTCTTGTAAAAGGAGAAGGTGGCGGAAATGTGCAGGGCCCTGTTTGTTTCTACAAGCCAAAAAGAATATATTTCCTCGACTATGAGTATCATAGGAAGCTTCTGGTCACACTTGCTTAGGAGTTTGTTAGTGTCTCTCTGGTCTAATTTCACAACATTATGCCAAGATCCCTTTTCTCCTGTGATTTCTCACTTTGCCCTGCTTCGTTTGGCTCTGAGAGAGCAAGACAGAGTTTTCTCCCAGAAACAGTGGTTCTCACTTGTTGAGAGTTGGAGAATGTAACATCCCAACAACCACAAAGAGAAAATTGGCTGTTAAGGAGGAAGACCACCCTTTCAGCTTGCAAGATGCCCTTGCCACCTCCCCTTCTCTGGCTGGGGTCTACCCATGGCTTGCCCATCAGAAAGAAGGCAGAGTATCTTAGGCTGCAGATCCTTGGCTTCCACAAAAGTATAAACAGGATGCCAAGGCAAAAGTGTGTGTGTGGGGGTGGGGGTGGGGTTCAGCCAAACAGGGAGGGGGATCCACAGCCCCAAGCTCCAGAACTGGAGAGGAAGCCCAGATTTGTTTTGTTTGGTGTTTTCTGAAAAGAATTTTGTCCCTCGACCAGACCCCTTCCTCACAAACTGGCCTTTTCAATAATAATATTTGTTATG